GTTGAGAGGGGGAAGGTGGCAAGCAGGCCCTCTACACCCCCCCTTTTTTGTTTGTTTAATTAATCAGTCAATCAAGCGAGAAGGTCGTCTCTTCCTTTGCCATTGATTGATTGATTGGTTGATTGGGAAAAAAAAAAGAAAAGGTGTGTGGGGAAGGGAAGGGCTGTATTTTTTTTTCAATAAAAAGGACACGGGGGGGGTGGAGCGAAGGGGGTGGGGGGTGGAGGAACGCGGAGGGGGGGGGGAGGGGAGCACGGTTGGGGGGTGCAACCACGGGGAAAGGGCGAACTCGGGGGCGGGAGGTGAAGGGCGAGGGGCGAGGTCAATCTCAAGTCGCTCATCCTCCCTCCTCCCCGCCCCGCAACAACAACAACAAAGATCTGATGAGGCGAAGGGCGAGGGGCGAGGTCAATCTCAAGTCGCTCATCCTCCCTCCTCCCGGCCCCGCAACAACAACAACAAAGTAAACCAGAGATCTGATGGAGTTTAAAAAACAAACAAACAAACAAAGAAGGGTTTGAATTCCAGGTTTTCGTCTCTTCCCCTCCCCCCCCCTTCCTTACATACCTGAAGGTGATTTGACTTGGTTGAGGTGCTCCATTTTTTTAGAAGTTGGATCCCGTAAAATAGAGAAGACTATGGCTTGGATCCCACAAGGCACATGTAACAAAAAATTGGAAAAGCTCCTCAAAAGCACGGTGATTGCCTTTCGGTCCTTCGATGACTATAACAAGAAGTCTAGCGAAAAGCGGTCCGCTTGCCAAGGACATGCAAATTCCTATTGGTCCGATCCAAAAAGAAAAGGAAAAAAAAGAACAATTTGGGGTTGGCTCCACTCCATGCCACTCCACTTCACTGTACTCCACTCCAGTCCACTCTACTCCACTCCACTCTCCTCCACTCCACTCTCCTCCACTCCACGTTACTCCACTCCACTCCATTCGATTGAACTACATTCCACTAGACTTCACTCCACACCACTCCACTACTCTACTTCACTCGACTCTACTGTACTCGACTCTTCTCGACTCGACTCTGCTCTTCTCTACACTACTATACTCAACTCTACTCTACTTTGCTTTTCTCTACTCCATTTTACTATAAACTACTCTGCTCTGTTAGAGTCAGTTTCAGCCTGTTTTAAGTGTCGTTTTAGATTGTTTTAGCGTATAGGTCCATTCGAGGTACGCCACTCTTCTCTACTCTACTCCACTCAACTCTACTCTACTCGACTCGACTCGACGTGACGTGACTCTACTCTACTCTACTCTATGCTACAGTACTCTCCGCTACGCTACTGTACTCTATTTTGCTTCACTCTACTCTACTCTACTCTATAATACTTCATTTTTCTCATCTCTACTTTACTTTATTGTACTTCATTTTTTTGTACTCTACTGTACAATACTATATGTTGTGACACTGTTATCTACTCACTCTACTTTACTGTACTCCACTTCACTCCACTCTTCTTTACTCTACTCTACTCCCCTCCACTCTACTTTTCTTTACTTTACTCTACCACACTTGACCCTACTAGACTCGCATCTACTCTACTCTGCTTTACGCTACGCTACACTATTCTACTTTGCTTTACTCTTCCCTACTCTAATCTACTGTACTCTTTTCATCTCTACTCTACTGTACTTCATGCTATGCAGCTACGATACTCTGATCTACTCCCTCCACTCTACTTTACTCTACTCTTTCCTACTTTACTCTACTCTACCATATTATAACCTACTCTACTCTACTTTATGATACTCTACTCTATTTTACTTTGCTTAACTCTTCTCTACTCTATTCTACTCTACTAATCTGTACTTTACTGTACTTTATGTTATGATACTCTAATCTCCTCACTCTACTGTATTCTACTCTACTTTACTCTTTTCTACTTTACTCTACTGTATTCTACTCTACTCTACTCTTTTTCTACTTTACTCTACTCTACTCTAACCTACTGTACTCTAGGATACTCTACTCTACTTTACTCTACAATACTTTACACTTCCCTACTCTTCTGGACTCTACTCTTTTCTTCTCTTCTCTTTCGTAAGCCTCTCTTCTCTACTCTACTTTACTCTAGGATACTCTACCGAGTTTCTACAATACTCTATGCTTCCCTACTCTTCTCGACTCTACTTTTTTCTACTCATCTTTTCCCTAAGCTTCTCTTCCCTACCCTTCTCTACTCTACGCTTCCCTGCTCTACTCTACTCTGCTCTGGTCCACTCTACTTTTCTCTACGCCTCCCTACTCCACTCCACTCTAATTTACTCCACTCCACTCTACCCTACTCTACTCTCTTCGACTCCACTTTGCTCCACTCCATTCAACTCTCCTCCACTCCACGTTACTCCACTCCTCTCCATTCTACTCCACTCCACTCCACTCCATTCGACTCAACTACATTCCACTAGACTACTCCACACCACTCCACTACTCTACTCCGCTCGGCTCTACTCCACTTGACTCTACTCCACTCGACTCTGCTCCACTCGACTCTTCTCGACTCGAATCTGCTTTATGCTACAGAACTGTACTCAACTCTACTTTGCTTTACTCCACTCCATTCTACTCTAAACTACTCTGCTCTGTTAGAGTCAGTTTGAGCCCGTTTTGAGTGCCGTTTTAGTTTGGTTTTAGTGTATAGGTCCATTTGAGGTACGCCAATCTTCTCCACTCTACTCCACTCAACTCTACTCTACTCTACTCGACGCGACTCGACTCGACTCTACTGTACTCTATGCTGCACTACTCTAAGCTACGCTACTCTACTCTACTCTACTTTGCTTTACTGTACTCTACTCTACTTTGCTGTACTCTACTTTACTCTACTCTTTTGTACTCTACCATATTGTAGTATATGTTGCGATACTCTTATCTACAATACTCTACTGTACTTCACTTCACTCCACTCCACTCTTTTGTACTCTACTCCATTCCCCTCCACTCTACTTTTCTCTACTCTACTCTTTTACACTCGACTCTACTCGACTCTACTCTACTGTGGCATACTGCGTAGCCACACGGGCCTGCAGGGCCCGTCCCTCATTCTCAGCCTAAAAGCCTAGAAATAAGGGCTTACAGGCCCCATGTCGTTTCAACCTGAAAACTGAAAACAAAGGCCTGCATGCCCTATTTTGTTTTCAGCCTAAAACAGGGTTTTTCAGCCCTGAGGTTTTTCAGCCTGAAACGGAGGGCCACTTTCAGGCCCTCATAAGATCGACCTACCCTAACACTCAGGCACAAAACCAGGGTTTCGGGAACAGGCTATTTCTGGCCTGTTCCCACGATAGCCTCAAGCACGAGCTGCAGCGGCAGCCCCTGACTCCCTTCGGCATTGGCAAGAGCAGCCTCCTGGACTGTCTCGCCCTGCAGTCAGGAGGCAGGCCGAGAAGTACATAGGGAGTTCCCATGCACTTCACGGGTAGGTAGTTGGACAGAAGGCAGTAGTCTTCAGGATTCGGCTGCAGCACTCAGGAGGAGCGCTGCAGGAGTAGCTTAGCGCTAGCAGTAGTCTTCAGCGCTGGGCGCTAGTAGCCATAGCAGTAGTCTTCAGCGCTAGGCGCTATTAGGTGGTAGTAGTAGAGTTGTGAGAGGTGGCTGGCGGAGGCCAGTGGGACTTACCTGTGGCTCCATAGCTCCAGCTCCATCTTCGAGGTACTTGCATCAAGGCGCCAACTTCACATGTTAGTACCAGACACAGAGAGAGAGAGAGAGTTCTTATTCTTCCTCTTCTAAGTCCACCAACTCTTCTTCCCCTCTCACCACCTGACTTCTCAGTATCAGCGGACTACTACAGAGAGAGAGAGAGTTGTGACTTGAGACTTGACGACAKTGGATCCAGACTCGACATTGGGATTCAGACATTTTGACGAGGGACTATTTGGGCCTGTGCCGAAGACTTGGTGTTGACGACATTCCCATCTTCCCCTCTTCTTCGTCTAACCCCCCTCTTCTTCGTCWKTGTATGGTTGGGGCTGGCGCATTCTTCCTGTGTAAGCGYCAGACCCCTTCACACCATGGAATGATGATGATGATGTATGTTCAGGGCTGCATTGCAATATTGATTGTTCGGATCATTGGTATCTAAGTTTTCCGCTGCGCTATCTTGTACTTTGTTAGAGAGGTCGGTTCTTGTTCTGGTCTGCACCTTTACAGTATGCAACAGTTTGGTATCGGAGCGGAGCTCTCATTTAGAGGACCCGCTCAATCAAGTAGCCAGCTTGCTTGATCTATTGATTAGTCATTAGTAAATCAAGTAGGACTTCGTCAAATCTCTGAATTTTTTTTCTCGCAACAACTATTTGAAAATTTATGATAATCACATTTCGTTTTACCTGAAATTTCTGATATTAGTATTTCGTTTCCACGCAACAAATATCTGAAAGTTTCTGATAATCACATTTCGTTTGATCTGAAAATTCATGATAGTAGCATTTCGTTTCTCTGATATTTGCATACATAGCTGAAAATTTCTGATGTTGACATGTCGTTTTCTAGGCATATTGGGATAACGATAGAAGTGGTCATATTCTCGGAAACCAGATTTATTCTTTTCTGAAAATCGAATTTTCATTCTATCTCGAAAATTTTTTTTGAAAACTGAAATCTTGCGAAGCCTACCAACATTTCGTTAGGCATATTCGAAGGTTGCCATATTCAACTGGATTTAGTTTTTTCTGAAAATCGCATATTTCGCAATTTTTTTTTTCAAGATCGCATTTTGTGGAAGCCGAAACTTTGCGGAACCTAGCCTAGATCTCGCTCATAGTACTCTTCTGACATGTCTCACTCATAACAAATCGACAGATGTACAAAAAAAAAAAAAAAAAAAAAGGAAGTAGTCCTCTTTTATTTATTTATTTATTTTTTTATCTGTTGATTAGGGCCGGGAGGAAAGTATTGTTGGGTTGGTTCCCTACCTGCGTTTTCCCTCCCACCCACCCCTTTGCATGCATTTCCGAGTTGGCACAGTGCCACGTCCGCAACAGTGCCACGTCAGCAGTGCCACGTCAGTCACAGTGCCACGTCAGCAGTGCCACGTCAGCAACAGTGCCACGTCAACAGTGCCACATAAGCAACAATGCCACGTCAACAGTGCCACAGTGCCACGTCAGCAGTGCCCCCATGACGGGCTCAGTTTTAGGCATGCCAGACCAACTAGCAATTGAGTCCATTGCCGAGTACCGACAGCGTTTCGAAACTCAGCTCGCACTAATCGCGGCTGAGGAACAACGCCAGCTCGCAGCTGAGGCTGTCCGCCTACAGGCTGAAGCGGCGGCAACAGCTGAGAAGCAGCGGCTTCAGGCCGAAGCAGACGCAGATACCCAGGCACGCCGAAAGGAAGCCCAGGATCTGCTACACCGACATGAAGCCACTAGCATCGAAAAGCTCAAGTTTTGGCACTTTGAACCATCCGAGGAGCACGACGACGCGACACCGGAGGAGCAGCACAAGGAATTCATGGCCAAACTCGTGACTAGGTTGGTTTACACTTGTAACCACCTGCAGTCTGAGCTGGCGAACCTCAAGCGGGCCGTACGGAACCACAAGGCTCAGCACGAGGATGCAGCATGAGCACTTGATTCCCGTGTACAGGACTTGGAGCAAACTGCACCAAGACCAGAGGCTAGCAAGACCAGCAATGCACCCTCTGCCCGCCAACTGGAGGAACGAGTTGATCACGTAGTCGCAATGCTCGGCGACATCAGTAGCTTCGCTGCACCAGCTACCATCAGCAATCAGCTGGACACCTTGAAGATCGAGGTTCAGCAACTGCACCGGCTGCCTAACAAGGATAGCAACGCCGTGCAGCACTACAAGATGCCGACATTCCAAATCGAGAAGTTCGATGATTATACGCATCAAGACCCGGTCCTCTGGTGGGAGGGCTTTACAACGCAACTTCGGATTTTGTTCGTCGCCAAACACGCGTACATCGGCGCCCTGTTCCTCAACTCAAAGGGCGGATGCCAGATCTGGTTGAGCCACCTGGCAACCGTCCATGGCGTCGACGTCGCACATCTGAAAGACAATCTCTTGGGACATTATGTGACGCCGCAAGGCATCCGTCTGCTTGTGGACAAGATCGAGGCCCTCCGCGTATGGCCCGAGCCCACCAACACCACGGACGTTCGTTCATTCATGGGGTTGGCGGGCTACTATCAGCGATTCATCACCGGATACTCGAGGATTGCCACACCTATGACGAGATTACAATCGCCAAAGGTGCCATTCGTATTCGATGACGACGCACGACGGTCATTCCAAGCACTCAAGACGGCCATGCTCATGGCACCCGTCCTTAGCATCTATGACCCCACCCTGCCTACGAGAGTGACAACAGACGCTTCCGGCTATGGCATTGGGGCAGCCTTGGAGCAACACGATGGCGACGACTGGCACCCTGTGGAGTATTTCAGCCACAAAGTGCCTCCCATCAATTCGCTTGATGATGCAAGGAAGAAGGAGCTGCTCGCGTTCGTGATGGCTCTCAAGCGATGGTGGCACTTCCTCCTTGGGCGTCGTAGGTTCACATGGGTCACGGACAACAACCCATTGACCTTCTACAAGACGCAGGATACGGTGAGCAACACGATCGGACGATGGATGTACTTCATCGACCAATTTGACTTCACACTGAAACATCTCCTCGGCCTCTCCAATCGCGCAGCAGATGCACTCTCGCGAAGACCCGATCTTTGCGCCATGACACATCATGCCTTCGCATTCGACGAGGAACTCCAGCGACACTTCATCCGGGGCTATGAGTCTGATCCAGATTTCACCACGTTGTACGCGTAGCTATCTTCGGATCACCCGCCAGCCAGCCATTATCGCATTGCCGACGGGTACTTGCTCCTCCACTCGAGAGGCAAGGACTTACTATGTGTCCCACGAGACCGTCGTCTTCGGACTCGCCTTCTCGGTGAGTATCATGATTCATGACTCGCCGGCCATTTCGGAGTCAACCGCACCATTGCACGGCTTCGACAACGATTCCGATGGCCCGACCTCATTACCGATGTCACTCGGTATTGCGACTCTTGCGAAGTTTGCCGACGAAGCAAGCCCCGCAATCGCAACCCCTACGGCGAGTTGCGCCCGATGCCTATCCCATGGGAACCCGGCCTCTCCACTGCCATGGATGTCACCAGACCATTTCCCCGCGATCGCCTCGGGCACGACGGCATCCTCACGGTTGTGGACCGTTTGAGTAAGTATGCGCGTTTTCTCCCTTGCAAGTACTACTCCACGGCTCCCGAGCTGGCACGCCTCTTGCACACCGGTTGGATTTGTGGCCACGGTGTACCGGAAGACATAGTCAGCAACCGCGACACTCGCTTCATGTCGACATTTTGGACTCCTCTCATGCAGGAGTCCGGCACGAAGATGAAACCAAGTTCGGCTCGGCATCCACAGACGGACGGGCAAACGGAGCGGGCACATCAAACCGCTCAAATGATGCTTCGTACGCTCATCCRTCCGGACCAGAAAGATTGGGTTGACCGCCTCCCCGACATCGAGTTCGCCTACAACACTTCGGTGCA